TTCTTCTTCTTCTTCTTCTTCTTCTTCTTCTTCTTCTTCTTCTTCTTCTTCTTCTTCTTCTTCTTCTTCTTCTTCTTCTTCTTCTTCACTATGAGGACTCAAACTCACCCCCTGCACTTTCTGAACAGATGCTATGCCACTGAGCTGTACACCCAGCTCATCCTTCACTGCGAGCCCTAGAAGAACTCTGGAAAGGGTTTCTAAAGGTTGGGTGTGTGTCCTTTTAACCCACCTTTCTCCTTTCTGAAGCTGGATGCCCACTTGGTGACTGCTGCTACAACCATACTACACCTGAGAACAGAGACGTGACCAAAGGGAAAGGTGAAGGTATAGCCCATTATACTAGGCTAGCCCTGGACCAGCGACTTCTAGAATGCTGATATGTGAGACTTCATGCACTTGAGGCGCTGATACTTTTAGGTTTCCGATTCACGCAGCTAGATCTGTTTTTAGCAGAAAGACCCAGTGACTGGGGATTCTGTGATGCTATTCAGGGTATGTAGTGGAGAGGAGAAAAAGAGAAGTTGGAACAAGCCACCAGCTCCACAGAAGACAGGCTACAGTGTTTGGGAAGGGGACAGGAAGGAGGATAATTAATATCAAGGCCAGCATGACTATAGCAGAAGGGAGGCTGGGAGGTGTGTTAGGAAGCTGGTCTGCAGGGAGAGAACATGAATGAATTTTAGATAGTTTTGGGATGTGTTGCATGGCCTGGCTCTTCCTTTCTTGTTTCCCTTTAGTATGTAGTTGTTTCTCTTTAAAGCTTTAAAGAATTAGATTTAGGTTTCTTCAGATGTGATGCTATGCTGAGGCAGGCCTGGAAGAGACTCAGTTTTATTTAACTTCTAACAAATAATCCAGAGAGAAGCCAAACACTAAGGATGGTTTGGTTACTGAGACAGCACAGCTGAGTGGCCCCTAGGGAGGAGTAGCTTCAACAGCCTCCTCGGAATTCTCAGTCTGGAAGGATCTGATGCAACTCTTGATCTAAATAACCCTGTTTCAGATGCTTTGATTGGAAGTCACTCTCACTGTCCATTTTCTGATTAGGTTACTTAATGATAGGACTTCTCTCCTGGCTTCCTGATCCTCCTGGGAACTCATCCCTTTTAAGCCTAGCTAGGAGCTGGCCATCAACAAAAATCTCTCTTATCTAAATTTATGTTTCCTAGTTGGTGACATTGATGAGTACAACTCACCATTTTTAAGATTTTCACTGAATGACCAAAATGCGAGAGAAAGATTTTATCCCACACAGAACAGGAAACGAAAGTTCATGGGGGGGGAGGAAGTGACTCATCCATAGGCAGATAGCCAAGAGGGACTGAGCAGGTGTGAGCACTGTGTTCAGCACTCATGGTCCAGAGCCCTCTTACTTCCTAACTTCAGGCAACATGGTGCAATGCAAGTCACGTGGTAGAAGTCGTACAGATCACTTGCGATCCTGGCTTCACTCTAAAATACTCTTGACTTGCCTTCCTTCCCCTTGGGGACTTCTCTCTCATGGATGACAAAAGAAAACTGAGGTAAATCTACAGCAGAAATTCTTAGTTACTCTTCTCTTGTTGCTGGGACAAATACCCGACACTCAAAATGAGGGAAGGAAAGGTTTACTTAGCTCACAGTTACTGGAGGTTTGAAGACACTAGAGGAGAGGCTGGGGCGCTGCGCTGTCCAGGATGACCCTCTCCACATCTCTGAGAAAGCACAAGCTAGCCAGTTTAATGGTTTGTACCTCTCGGGCCCTGCACTGGTCCTCTGGTGATGCCCACCCCTAGCCACTCATTGCTCTTCCAACTGCGTCTGCCCCATAATTTACATGAGGTTTTGGAGGGACAGCGAGACACAAACCATAACAGGCGACAAAAGAGAGCTGAAGTATATCTACAGCAGGAATTCATACCTTGTCCGTTAAACCAAACCCTGCCATTTCCCCATCCTGGGGTTTCCGTCCATGTACTGATGGTACCAGGTAGACCAGGCGAGGTAACACAAATTCATAAATTTGCTCTACTAACTCAGTGGTTCTCAGGAGGGGCGATTTTATGTGTACACCCCTTCTCTGCACCCACTGTGGTACCTTTAGCAATGTCAAGAGGTCAATAAGACCAACGCTGGTCATCACATCAAAGGAAGAGAATGGAAAGAATTGGAAAATTCTACTGGTCTCTAGTGGGGAGAACCCAGGGCTATTATGAAACATCCTACAGTGCACAGGGAAGTCCTTCAGGCAAAGAACAATTCAGCCCGAATCAGCAGCTCTCTGGTGACTATGACTAAAGGCGTGTGGGTACTCTATCAGGTTCGTAATACCTTGGTACTTTCCAAGAAGTACCAAGCAGCCTCAGTATTGGCCTTTTAATTTATAGCTTAAGTCCATCTCTGTCTGAACTGATTTGTTACCCATCTCCTAATCATTCCCCCATCTCCCTGCTCCTTCTCCATTCCCAAGGGTGGGCCTACCATTTCTTCCACTGTAACACACACACTAATGACCCAGGGATCTTGTTATGTGCAGAATCAGTAGGACTGGAGCAGTGGGTCTGAGAACGCCTTTCTAACAGGCTCTCAGCTAATGCTGATGCTGCGGACCACGGGCCAGACACTGGGTAGCAGGGAGTAAGAGCTCGTGTTGCGCCTCCCGGTTACCGTTTCCTTTTCCACGGCGGCTTTCCTCATTACTATGCTGGGAGTGGAGTGTCTTGTTTCTGGAATACCCAGAAGAGGAAAGTGGAGGAGTTCAGTGTCAGCTGGGCTCTGCCCCACTCAGCGGCAGGACAGCTGGGCTCTCCTCTGCCCGATGTGGTGAAGAGAGGCACAGGCGTTCTGTGCCATGCCACTGGCGGGCCCTTCTGCTGTGCTGTCAGTTCCCCTGGTATCACGTAAGAATACACACATTTAATTTCCACTATCTAAGCCTAATATATATTTCCTCTTTAAAGAAAATTTATTTTAATTGTGATAAACAATCCCAAACATTCTCACTGTAAGATCTTGAAAATTGCTTATAGCTCTACAAAAAACTCAAAACAAAACTAAAAACAAAAACAAAAGCCCCTCTTCTGTGGCACCTTTAGGTCATGGTCACTACTCCTTGTCAACCAAAATCAACAAGTTACTCAGCCTCGTGGGCTCTGCTTTCCACACACAAAGAATGGCGCCAGTGATTCTTGCCTTGCAGTGTGATAGGCGTGAATGCTCAGACTAAGTTACTGGTGGTTGTGTCTTTAAACATTGCACTTGAGGCTTTGTTTAAATCAGATGTGGGGGCTGCCCAAATAGCTCAGTGGGTTAAAGCGCCTGCAAGCAGGCACAGGGGCCAAGGATTCGATCCCTGGCCCGCCCCCAGGGCACACTGAGATGGCAATTGAGACTGGGCATGGTGGCATGTGCCTGTAATCCCAGCTCTTGGGAGGCTGTAAACAGGTGGATCACTATGAGTCTGATCTAGTAGTGACACCCTGAACACCCTGTAGACCCTTCCCTAAAACACAGAAAGAAAAACAAAACAAAAAAAAAAAAAAACAGATGTGATACAGAGACATCTACCTACCTTCAAAAAAAAAAAGATTATGACAAAGACGGTGGGTGCAGTGAAGGTGTAGTGTCACCAGGGAAGTGGTTAGGCCAGTGGGCAGACAGGGTGAGGGGGGAATGTGACTCCAGCCTTTCCTGGGGTGTCTTCAGAAACGATGGGTGAGGCAGGGAGTATGAGTAAACTTAGATTTAAATCATTTTAAAATGTTGAGGGCTCTGGATTATAGAAGTCGTCTTCAATTGTTTGGTACCTGGCTCCTTGGGCAGCCTAGGACAGGGGAAATTTTGGCTTGATGTGTGAGAATTCAATAAAGGAGGTGGTTGAAGGTCTAAGTTTGTGTTGGGCAGCTTGGACAGGAAACAAGCTTGCAGTCGCACTGTTTAGCTTCAGTAGAAGCCCTGGGAGAGACTGTCTCCCTGCATTAGCAAGGCCCCAGGATGTCAAAACTTCATAAAGTACAAAGGATAAAAACCGATTAAGACATGGTGTGAGGCATGGTGTAGGGTCGTTAACACCTTACCTCATGCAGCTGCCCCTTGCCAGCGCAAGTGAAATGACAATTTGTGGAAATGGAGTGGCTTCCCACAGATGGCTGTCCCCAGGACCCTCCTCTGGTGGCCAGTCTTTTACAGGAATGCCATGACACTACAGCCCCCAACTTGCAGAACTTCAAATGACAGTTTAATTGGAGACCTATGTAACCCTGAACTCAGTGCTCCTGGAGAGAGGAATAAAATGCTGGATTCTTGCCTCCCTGAAACCCAAGGCCTGCCAGTGTGTTTCTGTTTCACGCTGGTAGGATGAGGCTAATTTTGACTTCCTGGTGGCTAGGATTCCAAGTGAATAACCAGAAGCAGCAAGCAACAGCGTTGGAACCTGCTGGTGCAGTTAGAAATAAATTGCTTGTGCATGGATTCCAGGGGAAGGTTGCCCTTTGTGCGTGCGCACTGGGGTGGTGGAGGAGGGTGGGTAATGGGATCGGACTCCTCTGCATTCCGCCTCGGCGCTGGGGCTGCTCCTTCGCAGGATGAGTCCCAGCTCGCAGAACAGCCTCCCTTCGGAGGTAAAGCCTCAAGGGCTTTGATGCAATAAGGCGGTGGCACAACCACCTGAAGAAGGTGGGGGGTGGCAGGCAGGTATTATTAGCTTCTTGGAGCCTAGAGGAACCTGCAGGGTGGTGGCTGTGTGGGCAGAGCTGCCCCAGGGGACAGGGGCTGCATCCAGGGAAGAAGCTTTTCGCTGCAATTAACAAATAAGCCAACTTCTCTGGCTCAGAGCTTAAGGAACTTTATAGGTTTACCTGAGCAGGCATCCACAGGTAGGAAGGGCTTCAGGCTCATGTGACATTGGGCTTCCTGAGGTCCTCAAGGTCACAGGGGTTTTATTCTTCTATCTTTCCTGCTACCCATGGAGTCAGGTTTGTTTTACGGCTGCACAGATTTCCTTTGTAATATTATAGTGATTACAATGCTTTTTTTTTTTTTTAACATGCCAGTGATTTGATCAGCTGTCACTGTTCATTCCTTGCTTTTTCCCATTTGTTTTTTGGGCTCTGAAATGGGGTTATTTTGGAACTCGGTTTGCTTCTGGAATCCTCTCTCCTTTACCCTCAAGTTCTCTCCTTATTGAATGTGTGTTCTCAGGGTAGAAAACACTTGTAGAATTTTTTGGCGTTTTCCATTCCGGAGTTACATGCACTTTCTTTCACATGGGGCTCATTCATTCGTGCTGGGGAGAGAACCTGGGGCCTCCTGCATGCTAGCAAGTACGGCCTACCCCTGAGCTACATCCACAGCCCCATCTTCTTAAGAGCACTCTCTCTCTCTCTCTCTCTCTCTCTCTCTCTCTCTCTCTCTCTCTCTTTCTTCCCTTCCCTCCTGTCTCCTTCCACATCTCTGCTTCCTTCCGTGGCATCTTGGTGCTTTAATTCTTCCCACGAATCTGGTCACAAACTGCATTGGATAAGAACCAAATCAAATTCACCAGTTAGGTTCGATCTTGTCCTTAGGAGGGAGATTAGGTTCAGTTCTTGTCCAATCTGGTCTGGGACCAGAATGGTGGAAAGAATTACGTGAACCAAGGTACTGCTGTGCTACTGCATCAGGGACTGTGTGGTCAAAATGTGAACTTTGTGGGGGAGGGGGCATTTCTGATCCAAACTATAGCCCTTGTCTCTGCCTCTGGTTCTCTCTTCTCTTACTCCTTGCTGACAACTGCTTTATAGTTGCTTTCACCGGCCTCCTAGAGGCCAGTTCCAAATCAGGTCTTACGGTAAAGGGGGTGGGGACAGTCTCTGGTGGACAGGTAGGAGGATGCCACACCGCCCACCGTCAGTCTAACAGGCATCTTGGCCCAAGTACTGCTGGAGTAATCTATGTACTTCCTCTCTTTATGGAATTTTCAGGCCCTGCTGGTGGTCAGGGGCAGATCGCACCGACAGCTCAGATTAAATCAGCGAGCTTCAATCCCATCCCTGTCTTAATGGGACAGTTTTCATTCTTGGTATCCTTTAACCCTTACCATCTCTGAAATTATACCCTTAACCACCTCTGCTTCCTTGTGGGACTGTACCCAAGTGGGCCCAAAGTGCTAGCCCATTTAATGGTTTATTTTTGGGGGGGTTGGCCCATGGAGCTACTCATCTTGTTTTTAATAAGGATGTCTCTTTAAAACCTTTTTTCTTTCCTATTGTGTTTTGATACTGGTTTGAGTTTGAAGCTAGGGTGTGGGGCTTAGTATGGGTAATTGATTGACGTCTTGTCTGGATTCCGTAAAAAATGGGGGAGGTAATATTGTCTAGAGGATGGTTGGGCTGCCAAGAGTGAGAGCCAAACGTGGCCATGTATGCCACAGTGACAGTCGAGGGGTGGCGGATAGACCACTGGCCAAGGACTCGAGAGTCCTAAGTCTTATTTTCTGTTACAGCTCTGTCTGCTAACTCGCTGTGTGACTTAGGACGGATGACTTGACTTCCAAGAGTAAGTCAGTGCTCTCATTTACAAAGTGGTGGTATTGAATTCCAAGCCTGCCAGATACGCACTTGCGCTAGGGTTCCGGAAGTCCACAGGAAGATTGTTTGAAACAATCGTTCTCTGTTACGGTTGGCAGGCCGGTGAGAGTGTTTGCTCAGTCCAGGCAAATGGTAAATGTGTCGACCACTCTAATGAAACGAGTACATTTTTGCTCTAAATGTCATGGATGTTTATTATCAGATTAAACTACAGCAGGCCTAATTTTAGCTCTTCCAATTCAAGTGGAGCAATGAAGATTAAATGTTAGGCATAATTAAAGATGCAGAGGTAGTTATATTGAATTATAAACTTCATTAAGAGCAACGTCCCAGGAAGACCCCTGAGACCAGCTACGAAGGACTTCCAGCCACAATGCAGCAGCTATTAAAATATTATAAAGCAAATCTCACTGTAAAAATATTGTGACTTGGACAGGAGGATTTTTTTAAAAACATGGCTGGAGTTGGTTTCATGGGTAATTTCCTTGTCCCATTTGCAGACAGGTGGGAAGGAAGGCTTTCTCCTTGGCATACATGTGCAGGGCCTCCCTGGGGCTTCATGTTGCCCTCATCTTGGGATCCAACCTCCTGTTCGGCCAGGAGCAAGCTCAAGGTCAGATTCCATTCCGGAGTGAGATCTGGCGAGCTGGGCAAGACGGGGGAGTTTTCTAAAGATTGGAAGCCCGTGTTTTCAGCTAGAGGGAAATAAGTTTCCTGGTGCTATTTCTTTTTCTTTTCCTCTTCCTCTGTAAGCATAGCACATAGACAGTTTCAAAGAAATTCAAAGTACACAGGATAGGACAAAGAAATTTTTAAAAATCCAAGGATTATAAGATAATTGGTATTGATATTTGTCTTCCCCCCAAATTTGACAAAAACATTATACCTCAACATTGTTTTTAATTCCCTTTTAAAAATTTAACATGAGGTGGATATCTTTCTGATAGGTTTTTTGGAGGTGTAGTGAAGAGATAGGAAACATAAAAGAAGCCTTTATTAACTCCAAAGACACCAAGAGGATCGAGGGCAGATGGCTCAGGTAGATCTTCCGGCTTGAGGCAAAGAAAGCTGAGGCTTTTATGGTCTCTTGTGAGGGGTGAAGTTTGAGGGGGATTTTTAGAAATACCTGAGGAACTGATTGGGGTCTTCCCTGAGGTGGTGGGAAAGGTGAAAGGAAACTGCACTCTGGGCTGAGTTGGGAAGAAGAGGGAGGTGGTAAGAGAAGAGAAGAGAAGCTGTTTTAAGGGTGTCAGTCATATTAGGTGACCACCATAATAGTTAGTAATTCATTCATAATAGTCCATCACTTTGCATGTACATAAGTATTACCTTCTTTTAGTGGCTGAAATTCTCTTACATGTACTTATTTAAAAAAACAATTTTCATTATTGGACATTTAGATGTTAACATTTATTTATTTTATCTTAT